TTTCCTAAGGTGTGTTCTTTAGAATGCATTGTATAAGATGTTTTAGATACTTCTTTAAGAAAAATGGTTTTTGGTCATGTAAATTTGGAAACACTGAGTTAAATATGGTCATTGTTTTTGTTGTTATTTGTTTTTTGGTTAGGGTCTCATTCTGTTGCCCAGGCTAGAGTGCAGTGGCATGATCACGGCTCACTGCATAAAAACCAGAATCATGGCCTTCACAGAAACATGGATGCAGCTGGAGACCATCATACCAAATGAATCATCACAGAAACAAAGAACTGAATACCACATTCTCATTCAAACGCTGGCCGCAACCACTCACATGAGCACAAGGGTAGAACAGCAAACCCTGGACACTGCTCACGCCAACACAACTGGGTACCAGGTTCACTACTGGGAGAGAAAGGGCCCACTAGAAGTCCATGTAATTTACTTATGTAGTAAATCCTCACATGTACCCCACAACTCTAAAATACAAAAATAAGTCGTTCCTAACATGTAGCATCAAAATGTTCTCAAAAGCATAGCTGGCATCCTATTGGGCCTACTTAAAACAGAAGGCCCCAAGCAACTGGTTTCAACTTCAAACCAGTGCTATTGATATAAGGTTAAATCTAAAATGACTTGTTTATTCATCTGAATTTAATTGCTACTTAGCACCACAATTTTTAATCAAAAACATTTATTTTACAAAAGCATTTCCCCAGAGCCTTTCTTGAAGTAAGTTACTCTCAACTGAAGCATCAGGATATTTGTAACTGTCTCATCATCACTTTGAGGCGTGAGGTAATTTGTCACCAACAATTGTTCAATACAAAAATTTGTGACTCATTTAAAAAAATTAGTACAGTTTGAACATCATCCTTATAACAGCACCACTCACCCTCACTTGCACCCAACAATTTCTAAAATGTGAGAGGAAGGGGTGCTCCAGTTGATCTTGAGAAAACATGCCTGTGATATGTGCCTATTACTAATACTCTATTAATAGTAAGACTGATGTTTGATTTATTCCTGAGTAGAAGTAGGAAAGAAAAAATAAAAAGGAATTTCAAAATCTGGAATGGCCTCTGATTACTTACCCTACCTGTGCAGGCCATCTGCCATATAGACCATGACAGAGGGCAAGTGATAGAAAAAGTGAGTCCTTTTAAATACATGCCTCAATTTAAAGGAAATATATATTTTCACACAGCTTTTTGAAACTCCAAATGCACAAAGCAAGGTGAGTCTATGTGGTACTTAATGATATTGTTTATAGTTTGGAGTATATCTGGGGGAGGGGTAGTGGCTCTCAACAGATTCCCAAATATTGCCCGTTTTACACGGAGAGAGCTGCATTAAATAAGCTGCTCTAATTTACCCAGAAAGCCACACAGAGATATTCTCTAAGTACGAACTATAAATGCATGTTATATTCACACACATTCCAAATTCTATGCTTGGTGAATAACAGCCTGTGTTGAGGTTGCAAAAGTAAAAGTCATCAACCATGGTGGATCAAAGGTCAATGTTTAACAAACATTTAACAAATCACAACTGAAGTTTGGAAGCTTTGTGCAAGTGTGAAATGGATGAAAGATTCATGTCATCTCTAACTTCTGGCCAGGCATTCTTTGCATTCACTTTTTTAAAAGTCCATTTTGATAACAGGCTAGAGTTGAAGGAAACCCTCCTGCTTACGGCACTTGCAAGGTGAAAATGAAAAATTCTGATAAAGCTCACAGCCTTGAGGAAAATTTCAAGTGGCTTTTGCCTTGGTTTTCTCTTATTTCACTGACTCATTATCAGACAGAACTGAAGGACAGATTCTGCCTTCTGCTCTATAGGCTAAATTCTGTTCTCAGTGGGGACCGTAGCTGGTGACTTGAGTATTTCGCTACTCATTTATCTGTACAACCCTGGATTTAATGGACTCGAGATCTGCAAAGCGCATTCCATGGAAGTCTGTACATCAGCTGATGGGATGTGTGGGTGTGCACGAATTATGCAAAGAGAAAAGTTACTCTTTTGCAAGCAATGAACCAAATTATCTCCATTCTTTTACAGAAGATTTTTAAAAAATTTTTCTTCTTCTTTCTTTTCACAGTTTGAATAATGTTTATCTGAAATTTCAGGTTCTTCTAGGTTTTCAGTAGGATTCAACAGGTGTGGGAAAGGGCCACATGCCCACGGCCAGGACACCATTTATGAGATCTCTGCCTTTCCTGATACACATTTATCTATGGCTCTGGGTGCCTTGTCACTGGCCTCAATTCCAAAGTAGGGCTCATAAAGTCGGCAATGTTAAGACCAAAATAATGTCATTTAGTGTCTAGAGGGAGGTTACAAAGAGGATTAGAGGCAGGCAGGCAAGCAGGGTATATTAAATGAGTCCATGACTAACAGGGTGTGACAGAAAAGGGTTTTATTCTTTTCAACAAAACAATTCCCTAGGACTGGGACCATTACTCCACTGTGCCTTTATCACCTTGGAATTTTTATGGTTATTTCTGATGAATTCACATTTTTGTAAAGGTTTTTTTGAAATGATGCCAGTTTTCAATTTTTAATTAAAGTCGTAAATAATCTTAATTCGGCCTTAAAAGGTTTATTGTTTCTTTCTCTTTTTTTTATTATTGCTGCCAGGAAATATTTCAAATACCAAGTCCTGATGTGAGTGAGCAATTAGAATCTCTCCAAGGTCTAGTAACAACATTGTACCATGTAAATATTACACACTGGTATATCAGCACAAGATGTGGAAATGTGGATTGACTGATTTCAGATTTACTAGCAACTGCTTCTCCTGAGAGTGACATTTCCTCTTTTTGTTGGATGGAGTAATTATCAACAATTAATTTTCAAAAATCAATCCATCACAGATTCATAAATAATTTTTTAAATCTTTGGATAAAAAGGAAGTTAAAATTTGGAAAGTAAACACTATAAATTTATCAATAAACGCTGAGTAATGAAAGTCAATCAAATCCAATTCAACCATTTGCAGAAAACAGTAAACATCAAAAGTTAAATCATTTGAGTGACAATATCTCATTTTACATAAGACAAAATTAAGAGAATACTACAATATTCTAGATTGCTTGTTGGAAGGCTATCTACAAATTGTCAATAAAATTATAGTTTGTAATCTCAAGGCCTATTTTTCTTTTTGCAACTAGTGCTTCAAGAGTCTCTCACATAATCAAAACTACTCTCCCTTTATACAGAGGCTGAAACACATCATGTTTGAACAATAAAAACCATTAACAATTCCCGAAAACCCGTTATGTTTCCATACCTGTCAACTTAGGTTCCCTTCTTAACTTGAACACCATAGCAATTGCTTATTTGTTTAGATGGGGGACTTATACTCTTTCATGTTCATGACAATTGTTACTCTCTACAAAGATCATAGGTCTGCTATATTATTGATAGAGTTGCCATTACAGTAGAGCCTCACACATTTGGGACAACTCAGAGGTGGAGAAATGGCCAGATTTAGGGTGGGACCTCTTTCTTTTTTTTTTTTTTAACAAATGTAACTTGCTACTTCAAATTTATAAGATATATATAGATGATGACTAAAACCATTAGATGGTGGTCCTACAAAAGCCGTTAACAATATCCAACAATTGTGTATTATTTTATGAAGATTAAGCATCTTCCTTCCAATTTTATTTGCATTATTGATTAACTTAGCAGTTCCTTTGCTTTTCTGAAATAACAAAAACATATCCAATCCATGCCAAATGATCACAGATATCAATTTACTAGAATTCTAATTAAAGAGATTTAACTACACTTCTAGAAAAAAAAAAAAAGAAATGATTTTAACAACTGACTTACAAGAGTAGGTTTTTATGCAATTAAGAATATCTATCAACTCCTTCTGGCTGAGCATTTTTCTAACCCACAGGGAAAAGGTCAAATTCTTTCCATATATGTGCCCTCCACTGGCATTGTGCTAACACCTCTCAAGGAAGAAAAAAACTCATGTAACACAAAGACTATAGAGCATTTCTCAACATAAAAGTGCTAAATCTCTATAAACCATGAAAGAATGCAAGATTTCTAACTGGGAGTCACAGTGACCTGAAAACCCTTGCCATGGGGTTCAATCACGGGAAATAAGTTGAGTCTTCAACTGTCCTTAACTTTGTTATAAAGGGTCCTTAAATGAACCAGGGACCCATTTCAACACAAATAAAGCACTCAAAAAGCCAAGGTCAGCTCAACATGTTTTCCGCCATAAACAGAAGATACTCAATGGTCCAAAAATTTAAAAACTCAGTTATTAGGTAATGCCTTGAATGGTAGTAAGCTCCCTGTCTCAGAAGGTGTTAAAGCACACATGGCCAACTACTTGGTAGAAATCTTATAAGGTTAGGGGAGTAAGCCAGGTGGGTTGGCTAGTTGATCTTTAAAATTTCTTCCAAATCTGAGACACTATGATTTTTATGAAATTTGAAACTGCATTTATCTCTCATTGATGTCAAAGTGATTTCAGATTCGGTTCCTTTTTCAGATTTCCATACATAGTACCTATCAAGAAATCTGCTTTTTTTCTCTAAGCTTAAACAACTTTCTATACTTATCTTAGAGATTTACCTACTTTCTTCATTAGAACTAAAATGGTTTTAGCCAATTGATATTTTACGAAAAAGCACTTCTTTCCAGAAATGGCTTCTGTGTTAGTGTTGTTCCAATTCAATTTTCTTTAGATATTAGAACTTAATTTTCGTAAAAGTCTTTTTTAAACTTTCTGGTTTAGGTGGTTTGCACTTACTTTCTCTCATTCCTACTATACAAGCCTTCCCCAGAAATCCTCTGGCTATATCAGCTATGCAAACCATAGCCTTGCTATTACTTCATGGGAGACTTCCCTCTCCAAACAGTCTAAAGCATGTTACATCTTGAGAAGTATAAGAATTTCCGGTGTCCTGCAGAAGCTCTGAGGACTGCAAGAGTAATTTAAATATGCTTTTCCTGGTTAGAAAATCCTCTTTTAAAATTACCTTTTTCCTTGCTTGTTGATCTTTGGAAGAGTGTGCCTTCACATGCTTTCTTAGGGAACTTGGATCTGTGTAGCGTTTGGTACATCCTGGAATTTGACAAGCATAAGGTTTCTGAACAAGAAAAAAAGAAAGAAACAGCGGTGGTTAAATCATTAAGGTAACTGGGGAAGGTTTTACTCAAACACTATTGACTAACAAACAGCATGAACTGTTACCAACTGACTGATGTGAAACACTGGGTTTTACTCATGCATTTTAATTACAAAGTCCAGTAACTGCATTGCAGTAAAGAGAAGAGTAAACTTTCAAGAAACAAAGAGATGGCTTATCTCTGTTGATTTCTAAGAGATTGCTTTAGAGTGTACTCTAACCACAAAATTTCTTGTGGCATTTTTATAATGTGGAAATTATTAGCAAGCATCTCTAGTCATACTTACAGTTATGTCTCCCTGAAAATTATCTTTGGTACTGTCAGAAACTAGTAAACACATATTCTTTAAGAGTTCAGGTAAAGAGGCTGTAGAAAAGTCCAGAAAAGACGGGATATGTTTCAGAAGAAACCTGATTCAGAAAGAGAGAGAGAGAATTAAGAAGAGAAAATTAGTGTAAAGTGAGTAAGAGACAGTAGGTTTCAAACAACAGACACATGAAAAACCAGTCAGAGAAGCATTAATATCGTTAGTCGCAGTGGAGTCCAGGTGCTGAGCCTGAGTTAAGTGCGTAAGCTCTTGACTGAGTATGATGAGAACAAAATTCTAGCTACTCCGACTTCTCCGTGCTTCTGAGAGGTGTGAGGTGTGGAGCCTAAAGATGAGTTTAGGATCATTTAAAAAACATTTTTGTATCCCTTGTGCTTGGTATATAATAGTTAGAATTGAATGATTAAATGAGCACCTCAGATTCATTCAAATTTCAGCACCTATTCCTACTGTTATAAACAAATTCACATCAAAATCATGAAACTATAACTCTTCAGTTGTAGGATAAATCAAATCTGCTTATTCTAATTAATGAAACAATTTTTTTAAAACTCTGTTTATAGCATGTATTAGCAGTAATTGATTTACTTAGTATCTCACCAGGACAGGTATTAGAGCTGCGCCTGTGAAATAAGAAATATAAGAGAACTGAAACCTTGTTTCTAAAATATGATTCTCACTCTAGAAATTTGCTACACGACTGACCAAAATTTCAGAATTTTTTTTATTGTTTATATTTTGCTGCTGTTTTTATGTTCATCCTTTTCATTTTGTAGGCTAAGAGATATGTGAATTACAGTATTCGCCCTGCTGGAAGCCATATTTATGATTCACTCCTCTTTGCACTATTTTTTATTCCAGGCCCAAGGTAAAATAATGTATATATAACTTAATTTGAAATACCCCCTCTGAATTCCTACGTTTAATATCTGCTTTGTTCATTGACTGACTGAGTGACTGAATCATTCAAAGGCTTTTAATGCTTACAGAGTGTGCTGGGCACTGTGTTATATATTAGGGATCTAATAGTAAACAATGGATGAACCAGGATTTCAATATCTCACAATTTTTACAAAATGGTGAGCCAATTATTAGCTAAAAGTCACTAGCCAATGAGTTTTCATGGGGTAAGCAAAGATTTTTTTTATTCTGGGACTCAGAATTTTCTGAGTCTGCATGGCTATCTCAACTAGCCTTCCCTACATGTCCCTGGCTTTAGGGGAACAACTAGCTAATATCTTTATTGGCAGTCCCGTTGTTCTGAGGATCAGAGGAGTTGTCGCATGTAAAAAATATTAACGTGTTGTATAAATTGATGACATTATTATTACCATGGCCACTACAATTTGGGTTGGTGATGTCATTTTCTATTTGATTTTGATATATTCTTGGAAAACCTTGACTAGCACACTGCTCTTCCCAGCTGGCCTTCAGTCTCCCCTGTTACTGTCAGCCACCTGGACGGGTATGCCAAAAATAGCAATGTCAGGGACTGGTCTAAGTAGGACTGCTGTATTGGTTATTTTATTTCAGATAACCTAAGCTTTAAATGCATGCTATGCTTCATCAAACTATGTATTTCATTATTTTCCATCTGAACTGTATAATTACTTCCACTGTTTAGATATTACAATGCTAATAGAAAAATGGAAATTAATAAAGCTTTTTAGGGTTAGAATTATGAACTCTGTAATCTTTACAGGGAAACCATTTTCCTAGAAATAAAGTATCCACTTAGTCGAAGAAAGATACTTTATCCAAAATTTTGTCAGCATCAGCATAAGGAGTACTTAATGAAAGGGAACAGGGACCTAAATTTAAATAATAAATTCTTCAAGCAACTAGTTTGTTTCTTAAAACAAATGTTTAATTTCTACATGATTTTAAATGAGCTTACCAATTTGTTAAGTGCAGTAAAAATTTAAATAGAAACTCGTTTGGAGCTTAAAGGAAAAATGGTGGTTTAAAAATATTTGATAGAAAAATAATTTTTTGAAAAAATAAAAATATTTAAGTTTTAAAAGTGATTGCATTGAACTAAAATCATGAAATTATCATCTTAGATAGCTTTTCTGTTTTTTTAAAGACATATTTTTAAATTCTGAAATGATTTTTGAAAATGCTCTTAGTTTGATTAGCTAAAATTAGTTCCAAGCAAAGAAGGCTATTACAGAACCATAACACTTAGCCTCACAATAGTTCTTTCAAACTACAGATAACTAGCTAGAGTAGAAGCAATTTTTCAAGACAATCCTGTCTCATAAATGTTCATTCTTCCATGATAAAGTTTAATAACAAACTGGAAAATTTACTGAAGTCTACCAAGACCATATTAGACACAACAAAATACAGTATTTTAATGTAATTTTTCTTTTTTTCTACTTAAAATAATCCCTCTATTCTCCAAATTTATTCATTTAATATTCGAGTCTATTGGTCCTAAAATCACTGAATTCACCAAGAGCAGAAAGGATTTATCCTACACCCATCTTGCTCTAGTTATATTTTAGATATTTACCAGGCAAACCATCACATTTACATTTACGTGTAGTAGGGGATAATTCCGTTTCAAAAGGTTATGTGACATATAGCTAAAATGACTTCTATCAATATGACTAATAGAGACTAATATAAGATTTAATAAATATGTCAACTATAACATCAGAAGAATCTTAAATATGTATGAGAAGGTGTGTAGAAATAACAGTATCTTTTCAAAATTCAAACACTGGTGTAGTTTAATAATAGACATCAGAATGTTAACACTGAAAAAGTACTGCCATGAATACATTATTTGCAAGAACGTGGGATAAAAGATCTGTGATGTGTATAATACACGTCTCCTGATGGCTTTGTTAAGTGAAGTGAAATTACATAGAGTCTACCCGGCCTCATGTAAGGAAAATGGCATCAAAACTGGAGAAATGCAAAGGAGAGCTATCAACATAATTGAGAAAATAAAAGATGAGAGTCGCAGAAAAGGCATTTGAGAATGAGCAAAGTGTTGCAGCATTAGGGGAGTTAAGGGTGTAGTAATGAAAATAACTTGTTCTCATAGGGTTGATGTCAATGGCTATGTGGCTGTTAACACATAGGAAGCATGATGGAACTGAACCCTTGGGAAATACTTGCTGTTTCTTTTTAGATCGCTTAAAGGTGAAAATGCCAGGTGGTTTCTAAAGCAAAAGGCCAAATTCACTCTCAAAAACGGTGCCAGTTGCAATGTTCTTATATCAAGAAGGAAAAAAAAAAAAACAGAGAAAAAAAAACAAAAAGCAAACAACAACAAAACATTTCGTATTTCTAGCAATGGCATGTATTGCCGACTTGGTATTTGCAAACTTATTTTAAAGTGGGTCACTCAAATAAAATCTACTACGTGACAGCCCCTAAACTGCTTTTGCTTTGTACGCAGAGGTGACCAACTAACCCTTCTGTGCTAGGAAGGTGTAATATTTAGAATAACCTGCAACTACAGAAAAATGACACAGTCAAGCACAGCCCCTTCAGCCCTTTCCCGAGTTTCACTGCTGCCCTTGGCACTGTCCCTGTAACTTGCAGACCAGAAAGCAAATACTTTCACCAGCCTACTATCAAGCAGGCACTTCCTCACACTGGGCTTGGGCTGGAAACTGGAAAGCTCCTGCCATTCTTACAGTGTCCAGATGTGTCCGCTGATGTTTGGCACGGTCACTGGAGTTACTGAAGGCCTTTTGACAACCCGGATGCTGGCACAAATATGGCTTCTCGCCCGTGTGGCTCCGCAAATGGATCTTGAGATTTTCAAGCCTTGAAAAGGCCTTCTTGCAACCTTCAAACTGCAAAAAGAAAACAATTTTTGGTTGTTGAGAAAGACCTTGAATGTTTGAGTCTGGGCACAGGAAAAAAGTGTCCTTAGTTTGTACTTATCTTAAAATGATAAAATAAAATGAAATTTAAACAGTAACAAATATTGTTTCTAAAAATATCCATATGTTTATGTGAACTGCATTTTTCCACTGAATATACATGCCACTTTCTGTACCAGATTTGGGTCCCAAATTGATTTCTGTGATTACTTATGTCAGAGAAAATTCATGGTGAGCCATCTGGCTCAGTTAATAAAAATACAGTAATGTGTGTCTTAAAGGTTTATTAAAAAATTAACACAGTTTTCCATTTCCAAATTGGTCTAATTGAAGAAACTGGGAAGGAAGAAACTTTCTGACAACTAATAAACTAACAAGAAAAATCAGAGTAATGTATGAAAAAAAGAGGCGAATTGAAGCTCCAAGAGTCCGGGGTGAAAAAGGTATGTGTCCACTGGATCAATACAATCATAAATTTCCTTAACTATCTTCATAGGGTTTTTTTTCAATTCTAAAAGAGTGACCATGTTAACATATGGAAATGACAAGCCTAACTATATGAAAGATTTTAACATGCTCTTAAAAGGATGCCGGAAGACAGACAATTTATTTAGTGCTGAATCATTTTCCAAATAAAGTACTGTAATAATTTAATCTTTTTTTCATTTTTTAGAAAATTTGTTATCTAATTAATGAAGAAAAGAATTGAAAATGAAAAGTTGAAGACTTCAATAAATGCATTCTTGGTTTGTCAATATTTATTGATAGTAATATTTACTTAATATCTTCTGTGGACAAAATGTCAACTACTATTACAGGGTCAAAGTGATTCCAATCCTTAACAATCTAATAAAGGAAATGTGTTAGAGAAAGCCTGCAAATGAAGCATAACGGTGAGATGGGGATTTATCTTTTAATTCTCTCTTTGGTGCTAAGCCCTAGAATATTTATGTTACTTTGACAGTTTTAATACCATTTGCGTTTCCATTGAAAGAAAAACTGAGAAATACAGAAAATCTACCAGAGCAATGTTTAAAGCAATTGAGAAACCTCACATCCTAGAATGTGGGGAGTTGTGGGTGGGTAAGGCAGGAAGGAAGTACGTGAAGGTGAGTTAGTATCACTCAGAATTAGCAGGTGTAACTTAACCTTGCTACAGGAAATTTTATAAAACTCCTTGGTTTTCTTATGATAAAAGATGGTAGAGGACATTGTTCATGAAGAAATGATACAGAGCTGGCCAGGTTTCAGTTATTGAAATTTTCATCTTCAAGTAAGTGATGAACTAAGCAGAAAAAATAATTAAACATGTCATAACTCCATCTATTTAAGTTGTCCAGATTTTGCACGCTGGAGTATTTTAAGAAATTTATGAAAGTTGCACTTATTTTTGATTGAGAGTTATACATGTTTCACAGACATATGTTGGTTTATTTCGATTTTGATATTTTGCTTAAAATAATTTTGGTGTTTTCCTGATTTCTATTTCACATAAAAATAAATTTAGCATGAACAGAAGATGAACGCTGACGAAGTCAACTCCTTTTTCACCAGAGTGAAAGGCATATAATGGGGTGTCACTAGAGGGAAAGAGATGATATGGGGCTCATTTCTGCAAGTTTTCAAGTGGTTCTTCAATTTGAGAGGGGCTCAAAAAAATTAACCCCCAATTCATAGCTAAGAGGCCTCTGCTAACCAAACCTCTGTTTTAAGGATTTCTCTGAATGACAACTTAGAGCAAAACTCTTGGAGTTCAGTTTATGTTACTTGGAATCACCTGGTGGGCCACATTTAGGTCTGAAAAGAGCTTGTGGTTTTGGCCACCTAATCCTGTATCCTAGATACTACCAAGGCTCTTTTGTGGGGTGAATTCCATTCTGGGGCCAGCTCCAGGAGTGCATACCCAGACTTGGGTAGCGTCTGGTATCCATTCCCTTCCACAGTCGTTTCAGATCTTGGTCCGAGAGAAAGCTGCATTGTTTCAGCACTAGCATGGGAGTAGAGGACTACCTCAGAATAGATTAGTGAGGTTTCTGTGGGTATGGGATAAAGTGAAACCCCTGGTTCTACCACAGAGTAGAGGGATCCCAGACATGTCCTAGATGAACTCAAACTGTCCACTTGATCAGACATAAACTGTATGTAGAATAGTGTTTCCAATGCCTTTCCAGTTAAATGTCTACTTAATGGTCAACTAATTGCTATTATTACTATTAACAGGGCAAGAATCAAAGACCAAGGGGCTTGCTTCATTCCAAGTGAACTAGTGCAAAATGAACATCTTAGAACAGCTTGACCATTTTCAAATAGCAAAGATGCAGGAAAATATGAACACCCAGACTGAAAATGACAACGAAAAGATTATCTGTAAAATATTGAAAATCCAGCTGGTAACAGACGTTTTCTCTCAACAAGGAAGGCTAGAAGAGAACAGCGTATCATTATAGTATTTCCAGAGACAAGGTTAAAAGTGAAGGGTTTTGCTTTACTGCGTTGCATAAATAAAGGCAGGAGAAAGGAAATTTCATGTATTCAGGGGCTCAGAATATACACCACCCATTCACTCTAGTCGAAGACATTCATTTGAAGAAACCATGAACCCAAGACCAGTAGAATCAGGCACCAAGGAATTAACAAATGGCTTGGTGGGAGGCCTAACACTCACTTGTCACAAGAGCATGGAGGGCACCACACCTGAGAACCTGTCACACTGACAATTTTGCAAGAAGAGGAAGGAGGTGCTATTCGTCTGCCCAATGGCATCTAGATGAAACTTGAAAGCAAACAATTTTATAATGAATCATTATCATTCATTATGGGAAAAAGCCTGTAATTCAGCACAAGAATTTCCTGTCCCTCGGGCAGTTTCACCCTTAGATTTATAAATTCAATTAAAAGTGAATGCATTAAAAATAAACTAACATTTAAGTGAGCTTATAAAAGATTGTTACAAAATATACCAAAGCTGGATTATTTGTGTTTGGGCAAAAGGATGCCTTTTTTCCTTGTTCTTTTTTAAAATTATTATTCATGTTTTCCAAATCATTAATGAGCTTATCTCACCTTGTAAATGAACATTTAAGCTTAGGGAAGCACGGGCCATTAGGAGTGTTTCCTTGGTTTTGGACAGATGCTTTCTCATCAAGGTTCCTAAAGTGCAATTTCATCCTGAGATCCAAGGTCCAAATTGTCAGTTGACTGCTGTGTCACTGTCACTGGCCAACTCCTACACAAAATTGACCAATATCTTATTCTCAGGTCTTCTGCTTCCTGGACTGGTTGTGGAACTACGAGCCGTGGGCCTAGTGACACACAACTGAATCATCAGGCCAGAGTTTGCCCAAGGTTCAAAAAACAAAACAAAACCATATACAGGAAGACAAGAGAAAAAACAATAAACAAAATCTACAAGTCCAAGAGGGAAGCAGAAAGAGGAAGAATAGAACACTGCCTTGGGGGGGCAGTGGAAAAGGGGTCCTGTGTTCACTGAGCATTTATTCCATGTCAAACTCCTTGCTAGGAGTTTTCTTCTAGGTTAGTAATTTTATCTAAATAGTATTTTCCCTCTCAACAAATATTGAGTAAGTCCTATGGGCATAAAACTGTGTCTTATGCATCAGGAGGAATAAGATGAATAAAACTCAAGCTTTACTCGTGTGAAGAGAGAAGAAAGATCAATGAATATGGCTGAGCAGGTTACACACTGAGGCCCTGAGTGTGGTTCTCAAAGGCGTGGTTCCCAGACCGGCAGCCTCAGTATCACCCAGGAACTTGTTAGAAACACACATTCTCTGACCCCACCCCATAACTACAGAATCAGGACCCTGGGAGGGGGACCCAGTCACCAGACTGTCAACAAATCCTATAGGAGACTCTGATGCATACCATGATGTGAGTCAGTGAGTGAGGGAATGCCGTTTATATGTGGTCACCATCTTTCACCAGAAGATGAAAAATCTTCTGACGGAAGTAAATTCTGCACAATTTACCCATTTATAGTTCAACAGTCATATGGACAAGAGTCATATGGACTAGCACAGCAGCAGCTATCCTACGACTGAAAAGGAACCTCTCCATTCCAGGGAAAGGCAGAGCTATCTCCACTCATACAGAAAATAGGACAAAATTCCAGAATCTCAACCTCTTACCAGAGACTCTTTAAATTTCTGATTTTTTAATCTGCTAGTAGGTCAGTGTCTGTCTGGTTTTGAAATAAGTGTATCCTCAAGTTCCCTTCAGTGTCCTCCTGACCAAAACGAAACAAAAATCCCACCATTCTACTGTCCATTACATTCCCTGTTGAGAGAAAGCACCAAAGGGGAGCCATCGTTTTCCATTTGTACATTTCAGTGGCTTTGCAGACTCATATGAGAACAGTGCATGAAACTGTAAGTGACAGAACTTTAAATCTCATGGGCTTTGAAAATACTGCATTGCATGAAGCCTCACTCTGAGGAAAATCTCTTTAACTTTGAGGCTGTTTTCAAGTAACAAACTTTAATTAGAAAGTTTAAGTTGCCTCAAACCTAAAGAACCTTCGCTTGCACCATTTTGCTAATTTAGAAGATTATTTCATATTTAAAGACTCACAACTGGACTGTAATCACCATCTATATATATTGGTTTAATTACAGATTGTTGACATTAAGTAGCATTAAGATGACCTTTGAAATATGACATTCTCTTTCTATTAGAAGCTTTTGTGTAAGGTTCTAAAAATGAAAGCCTCATTAGACATCATTAAAATAGGATTTATTCCATATGTGTAACCAATAATTAAGTAGAATATTACTCCTTCCCTTAATCAGCTACTTAGAGTACTGAGAAGCATAAGTTCGTATTCAAAGCAGTAATAACAGTAAACCTTTCCTGATCAGGTTTCCATACCATTACTAATGTCAACAAAACCCAAACAGAAAGGAGTGTCTGATGCTGGACATGCTTTTTAAAAATATACATTTGATTTCAAT